GTCTGCCCAAAGGCCCCTCCCTGCGCCAGGTCTCCGGGGCGTCCCCGGTGCCTCGCTTGTTCCCTGTTTTTAAAACGTCTTTGAAAAGTCCTTGAACGCGAGGGGCGGTGGTTGTACTCGCCGGCCGTAATGACAGACGCCTGAAACACCGGGCTGCTGGCATGTTGCGGTGACGTTTGAGCTTGCCTAAACGGCAACGGTCAGGTGGCAAGGCCAGGTATTGCTACAAACAGCAATAAAAAGAAAGAGCGCCGGTCTTTCGGGATCTAAGTGCTGCTGAGAAATCCAGGAGGAGCTGAATATTCTTGGAATCCCCTGGAGGCGAAGTAAACGATGATACGTATTTACTATGGTACCACGTCTTGGACAGGTCTCTGAATACGGTCGGTGATTTTTGAGCAGCTACCCGGTTGCCACACAGAAGAGAGATCTGGAAGCAGACGGTCTAGCAACGGGCATCGAGTCTGCCCTGCCAGACGGTATTGCTGCCAAAGAGTAAATTAGTTTCACAAAACTAAATCTAAACTAACATTTGGTAGCAACTAAAGGGAGCGTTATTATTTAATCAGCATTTCTCAATTGTTGAAAAATACTGCTACAAGGCTGAGACTATTATATGTGCTATAATTTCTCATGAACAATACAGAAAGCATTAACTCTTTAATGAGCACCGGATCTCTGAAACAAGTTGTTTGTGTTACATAAGGAAAGAGAAACAATCCAGCAAGCCATCAAAAGAAGGTTACTTCACACATTTCACAGAACAAATGCAATCTAATGCCTTGAAAAGGAACAAAGGAGATGATACATTTTGGAGCAGAACAATAATCTTCCCCAGTCCAGCTTCCCTTTTTTTTTTTTTTGCCTTGGCAAGTTGATGTGCTTTGCGGGAAAGGGTAACAAATTATAATATGCAATTTTGTAGGAATTTATCCACGAGAAAATTTTATGTTTACTTTTACCACATTACTAGTTGTCTTAGTATGCCTTGAGGCATTATTTTTTTATTTATTAAAATACATGTCTTTATTTTAAAGTTAAGACTTCTTACAACTCTTGTAATACTTCCTGTAATTTTCTGAGTGGGAGTTAATGCATATGTATAAGGAGGGACTGAAACCCTAATGTCTTCTCCCTACATTCTAAATACATGATTTTCACATTCTTCAAATCCGTTTCTTTGGATTAATATGGCATTCGCCTTTCTGATTTCTTGATGATCTAGAACCGAGAATCATTCATTCAGCAAGAACTCCATGTGTAGAAACGCAGCACAAGATGAATGTATAGCAATTGGTCTGTGTAAAAGAGAGTGATGTTACTGTATATACATTGGAGGTGCCACTTACATGCTGGCAGAGGAGAAATATCTTTTTTGGCCTGCTCTCAATCTACTGGTATGTGCGAGATACATAAGGATGGACAGATATGATACATCCTGGTAAACTGCATCCTTTTTCAAGTTTTTCCTTCCTTTCTAAACTATTTCAATGTGAGGTTTAGATCAGTATTATTTGTAGAATTCTTTTAAAGATTAAATAGTTGAATTAAGAAAACAGATGGTTCAGGAACTGCTCCCGAAGTACTGTGCGTTGTTGCTATACTGGCCATGAGAACAAAGTCTTAGAGCTGAGTCAAACTTCAAGTTTCTAGCAAGGCAGGTAGAAGCTGTGAAAGTGGTCTCAGAGGGTTGTAGGGGCAGCTGCTCTGCTCTTTCTGAATCCTCTTGTGGGCAAAACTACCAGGTGCCCCAGCATTATTTCGCAAGGCTGAGGTTTCTGCCCAGTAGGTAGGTTAAGAAGAGAAAGGGAGAAAGAGCCTATGAGTTAGAAGGCAAGATAGGAGGCACGTAGGAGTCGAGCCAAAATGAGAAGAGTGATGGCATGTTTTGCATGTGTTAG